GGAGAAGAGTGCGGGCTTTATCGCTGCACATCTGAGATTCAAGAGTGAGTTTGCGCTTTCTCCCTCTTTGAGAAACGAGGCTTTAGTTTTAGAATATAGAATTGTCAGTAAGTGAGGTAGGAATATGTAAATTGATGCCTCCACCGTTGTGCCCCTTACATTGTCCCCTCCCTTTCCACTCAATAGTCACGTGATCGTTTCGGAGACCCTTGACATCTTCTCTACAATCACTCCCTTTCTCCAAGATGTTATAACCTCCGGAGGTTTGCGTTTGGGCTTTCAAACTCCGATTTGGTAAATAGGATGCTATTTCGATGAGAACACACATCAGGTGGTCTTTTATCCTTAAAGGCCTTGTTTTCAAAGCAGGGGAAGAATGGCGGTGGTAGCTGATTTCTGTTCACTCCTGAGAGTTTCCGTAATGGGAAAGGGATAGCACTTAAAGTTTCCATCTTTGAGAGGTAATGCTTTTCAGGGTGTCCGTGTATGGAGACCGGTAACATTGGCCAGCTCCAGGTGCGCAGTGCTGTGCTTGAATGTGGGGATGTGGCTCTGTGGTATCTTGGTTGGGATTTTGATTATGTCCCCTTCTGGTTCTCTAGGCATGAACTTTATAGAATGACATTTGTAAAGCCTGTTAGTGCAGTGCCAGCCGTATGATAAGGGCCTGATGTATTTTGTTGTTGCTTTGTGTGGTGGTCATTTTCAGTTCTTTCTCTTCAGTTTTTTTGTTTGTTTGTTTGTTTGTTTGTTTTTCGAGACAGGGTTTCTCTGTGGCTTTGGAGCCTGTCCTGGAACTAGCTCTGTAGACCAGGCTGGTCTCGAACTCACAGAGATCCACCTGCCTCTGCCTCCCGAGTGCTGGGATTAAAGGTGTGCGCCACCACCGCCAGGCTTCTCTTCAGTTTTTTGTAGTACAGAGGAGTGCTATAAATAAAGCGATTACTGGCTGTATTTTAAAGAAAGTTACTTAATTACAACAACAAAAGAGCTAGGCTTTACAGTGCCTGCTCTAATCTCACCGCTGGGAGGCAGAAATAGGAGGATTCCTGTGTGTTCATGGTCAGCTTAGTCTCCACAGCAAGTTCCAGGCTAGCTGGGTTCCACAGTGAGACCCTGTCTCAAAAACAACAAGGAAATGAAAATGTGCTAATGTAGAGCAGAGATTTTTATTTTTTAGATGAAACGGTGATTGTTTCCCATGATTTGTAGACTTGTTTTTCTTGTGGGGTGTGGCTGCCCTCACGTGCCTTTGGCCAGAAGACACCTCTGGCATACCCGAGGGCCTTGGGTTACTGTGGATAACATGGATACACAGTAAAGGACCATGAGATGCTTTCCTTTAGAGAGACAGAGAATAGATTCGGGACCTTGGTATGAGGAAATACTTTACCTGAAAAACAACTCTGCCTAAGGGTCACTAAATATGCCTTTGTATGGCTTTCCGGGTCTTAGGTCATCAGAGACTGGACCTTCCTGATGACACACAGGCCTTAACATTTCATCTCGGAGTGATCTTTCTTCGACCGGCCTATGCGACACAGAACACCCAACAGGTAGTTACTTTTGTTCAGAATTCTGCGGGTGGGGTTATGTGCACATAAGCGCTGGTGCTGCAGAGACCAGATGGTTAGGATCTACAGGAGCTGGAGTTACAGGCATCGGGAGCTGTCGGGGAAGGGGAACTGAACTCCTGACCTCTGGAAAAGCCAAACCAGCTCTCAGCTGCTGAGCCTTCCCTCCAGCCCCAGCATTTCTTTTTGTCTTTAGCTCATTTCTCTCATGTTCCTCCATGCTCACCATATTGTAGTTAGTGGTTGGATGTCTTTCCACTGCGTCCGTGAACCTCAATCTCGATTTGCTTTGTCCACTCATCTCTTGGTGGGGTTGCGAATCACAGCTGTGTAAGCTCTGCTGGAATAAATGCGGGACTGTAAGTGTCTCTTGGAGACACTGATTCTATTTCCCTTGTGTCTCTCTGCTCAGCAGTGGGACTGCTGGATTGTGCGCCAGTTCTAGTTGTAATTGTTTGAGAACTCGCCAGATTGTGTTCCACGATGACTATTGATGTGCATTCCCTCCAGTAATGTGCTTTCTCCTGCACTTTCTCCACGTAATATTTCCTTCAGAAAATGGACACTTTTTAAATGTTTATCAATTACATACATACAGAATACATATATATAATATATACACATATATTACAATTATAATTGTTTTGGCTGCATGTCTGTGTGTGCACCATGTATATGCCTGGTGCCTCAGGAAGCCAAAAGAGGTTGTTGAATCCCCTGAAACTGGAGTGAGAGATAGTTGTGAGCCACCATGTGGGTGCTGGGAACCAAAGCCCACCCTCTCCTAGAGCAAAGCATACTCTAGCCCTGGGCTGTCTCTCCAGCCGTCTGATCATGGGCACTCCTAATAGCCACAGGAGGCCTCTCTTTAGGACTTTAACCATGACTCACTGTTGCCACGTCCACTCTCGACCCGCAAGGATGACGCGACACCCGGAGCTCTTCTCACTGCAGTTTATTCCAGGACTTTATTCACAGCAATCTTTCTCCTTCTCCTTCTCTCTCTCTCTCCTCTCATCCCCTCTCTCCCCGGGCAAACCTCTCCCAGCCATTAAGTAGGCATGGGCTACCAACCCCGGATTGCCAGGTGGGCACTGCCCATAGGTTCACGCATATGCAAGCAGCTGATGATCATTGCGTGATCAGGCATAAGTCAGACTTTAGCCATAGGAGTTGATTATACATCTCCATCAGGTGTGATTCCATGCAGCTCGATACAGTTCCCCCTTTTGTAAAACAACAGGTAAGAGTAGAGGTCTGATCTCTGTTAAAAATGAAACATGTACTCGTGTCTGTCCAGGTATCATCCACTCAGAGAACACTAGACCTGTCCGGTGCCTTTTTACAGAGGTGGGAGCTAGACACCAACCCACATGCAATCAGACTTGCTCTTCTTGAGGTTGATGTATGCTTACCTCAAGTGCAGTGCGTAAGCCTCTCATCCTGTCAAACCACATGAATATAACTCCCTTCCTTAGCATACCTTGTTCAGTGGCAAAATCCAGATCTCTACCAAGCCTGTCCCAGGATGACACATTAAGATTGGCAGAGACAGCAAACCAAGGAGCAATTATGTCACATTTAGCCAAAAACCTCTCCAAAGTTCTCCGTAACAGCTCGTTAAGAGCCAGAAAAATCAAGTGTGATGTTGAAGCGCCCATTCTAAAATCCCATTTTTCCTTTTAGTTTCACTTTAAACCATCCACTTTGGTCGTGGCCCTCACTTTAATCCGTCAGCTATAGTCACGGCCCTATTACCCCCACTCTCCCTTCTTCTACTTGTGAGAGCGGGAAAACCCGCTTTTTGTCGCGGATCCCCAATCTTTACCTTGAGGATTATCCGGTGCACCCCCTGACTGCAGTAAGTTCTGGGCTCCACGGAGAGAGGTTTGGAGGTTCCCCTTACGGGCCACCAACTGTCACGGCCACCCTCGACCCGCAAGGATGACACGCGACACATCGGAGCTCTTCTCATTGCAGTTTATTCTAGAACTTTATTCACTTTCTCTCTCTCCCTTCCCCTCTCTCCCTCTTTCCTCTCTCTCCTTCCTCTCTCCTTCTTCTCCTCCTCCTCCTCCTCCTCCTCCTCCTCCTCCTCCTCCTTCTTCTCCTTCTCCTTCTTTCTCTCTGTCTCTCTCCTCTCTTCCCCTCTCTCCCCCGGCAAACCTCTCCCAGCCCTTAAGTAGGCATGGGCTACCAACCCCCGGATTGCCAGGTGGGCACTGCCCATAGGCCCACGCATAGGCAAGCAGCTGATGATCATTGCGTGATCAGGCATAGGTCAGACTTTAGCCATAGGAGTTGATTATACATCTCCATCAGGTGTGGCTCTATGCTGCTTGCTACACACTGTGCTTATTTTTCATGTACCTCTTATCAGCCATACTGTTGTTCCATGTGAAGAAATGTGTGTTTCTGTGGTCGCCTGTTTCTTAAGTGTGTGTCCGTGTCAGGGAATTGTCTGCATTCCTTTGCTGTGCAGTTTAGGTATTAACTGTGTCAGAGGTGTGCTTTGCAAATACTCTCTCCCGTTCTCTAGATTATCCCCTACTCTCGATGGTTTCCTCTGCTGTCTGTAGGTTTTAGTTTGATGTAAATCCCATTTGTCGGTTTTCCTTCTGTCGCTTGTTTTAGAGTAACACCCCAAATGTCCAGTGTTGTGGATGATTTCCTGTATATTTTTTCAAGTAGTGTCAGTTTCAGTTATTAAATTTTCATCTGTTTTGATAATTATATCAGCATGGTGAAGTTGAGAAACCCAGTTCTAGAAGTGAAAGTCTTAGGACACCTGAGATAAATTTAAAATTATTTCTGCAAAATAGCTCATAATATGGAAAGAGTGAATCAAATCATCCTCACCTATCGTGACAGCATGTTTTTCAGCTAATTATCTTCATCAGGATTCCTGGTTATTGTACAACATAAGCCATGACCATAGAGAGCGAAGGTTCTCAGGAAAGTGCTCCATGGTGTAGGATTCCATTTACTAAAAGTGGGTCCAGACTGCTGAACACTGCCTGAGGATTGCACTGCAGACCTCCTGCCCCTCCAGCCTTACTGTGCCTCACTCAGCCCTGAAGGTGGGGTTCCAGTAGGAAGACTGCTCGCAGTAGGAGGAGGGACCCGTCTAGGGCTAGCTGGAGCTCAGGATGGAGGATGGGATGCCTTCTGCCGACATCTTCTGGAGGAGCTTCAAGGCACACGGGCTTATGCTCCCCACGTCCACGTTGAGCCCTTGCGCAGTGGTTGTCGGGGTTAGGACAGAATCGGCTTTGTGTAGACTGCTGTCTGCTTCTGATTTGTGTGGGGAGCCATGAGCCGTGGGTCAGGAGTGTGAGTGGGGATGCTTGAGAAGGAAACCATGATGTCATAGTCAGTGTGGACATCACGTGACAGTCCAGTGAAAGGCTTTCTTTCTGTCCCCAGGGAGGATCCTGAAGAAGAATGGCCAGCTCTGGGTCTCAGGACGTGGTCTGTGTAAGTTGACATTCTCTCTCTACACAGGCGGCTTCCAGGTTAGATGACTCTTTGCTGTCTTTCTCTTGTGAAGCTTCCCAAGGACCCGAAATCCTCCAGCCCCATCTGCCCTGTTACAGTGAGGGTTGGAAGGTCAGAGCACTTCCTGTCTGGCCTGTTTCCGGCTGCTCCTGCAGTTTTCTCTGAGTGTGTTCCTGCACACCTGCTCTCTCCTGCCTGTGGTCAGGGAGGACTGTGGTTGCAGAGGGGCCACAGTCCCACAGGGAATCAGGGTCTTTGGGGTTTCAGACTGTTGTGGTGATGGTTTCCTTTGAGTACACTGGGGATCCTGATTGACATCTTTGATGTTTTCAGGCTGATGACACAGGGTTTGAGGGTGACTGGCCTCTGTGCATGTGTGTGACGAGATGACCTGCTTGAGGGACTTTAAGAGAGGGTTCAGGGATGAGAGGGAAGGTCCTCCAGGCTGTGATTGGGGCGGGACTGTAGTCTTCAGAGTTCAGGGAGACCTGAGACATCTGCACTATCTTGGTAAAATGTAGTTTTTTGATTTTAAGGAAAAAACCCCTTAAACCTAATATGCCAGTAATATGGACTCTTACGTAGTTTATAAAAATCATGCTGATGACAAAATAAAATCATTATGCTATCTCCTGATGCCACAAGAAACCCAGGGCCTCACACTGTGTCTTAGGTGTTTTACACTGAGCCTGGTGACAGTTCTCTTTTGTGCTGTAACTGGAAGGCTGCGGATGGAATGGAAGCGCACCTCTATTGGATGTGTAGGGGGATGGAATGGAAGGCACCTCTATTGGATGTGTAGGCCACAGTCCTCCTTTCCTGGGGGAGCTCGTGCAGTCAGGTGCCTTGAGCATCTCCAGGTGGCTCCTCCCACCCTTGAGTCCTTTCCCTTCTCTTTCTCCATCTTGAACGCTTCCCCAATCTCACTCTACTTGTGTTTGTGGTTTCAGGGGTCAGTGACATTTAGGGATGTGGCTGTTGTCTTCTCTCAGGAGGAGTGGGCCTGCCTGGATGCTGCTCAGAGGGTCTTATACAGGGACATGATGTTGGAGACCTACAGAAACCTCCTCACAGTGGGTAAGGTATCCTCTAAACTGTTGGCTTTTCTCCCTCTGAATGAGATGACAGGGCCATCTTTCCTGTGGTGGCTGAAGCTGGGCCTCGTGGTCCATGCCTATCATTTTTTTCACTCAGAAGCCCAAGACAGGAAGATGGCTGTGATTTCAGGTTCACCCTCAGATACATATTGAGTTTCAGGGTAGCCTTTTCTACAGGATGAGGCCAGGTTTCAAACAAAACAGAGCAAATAAGCAAACAGAGCAAATAAAGAAATAAGTAAGGAAATAAATCAATAAATGAAATTAAGGACTACAGAGATTTTTGTTTACGAGAACTGACTGCTCTTGCAGGGGACCCAGCCCAACAAGGTAGCTCTCAGCCCTCTGTAACTCCAGTTGCAGGGATTCTGACGGCCTCTTCTGGCCTCCGTGGCCATCATGCATGCATGTGGTGCTCAGCCATACATGTGGACAGACACATGGGCCTAAAATAAAATTAATTTTAATCAATAGAATTTTAAAGAAGAAGCTGAGTTCCTCCTTCTTAAAGGAGTAAAGTGGGATTTCCTTGGTTTAAAAACCTCTGCCTTCTGTCTACACCTTAGAAGTCCTCTCAATGAGCTCTGGGTTCACAGAGACCCTCTCTTTAAAAACAAAGTGGGGAGCAATCAAAGAAGACCCCTCACATTGCTCTCTGGCCTGTGCACACACCCATGCATGCATGCCTACACACTCTTGTGCACACACCCTCATAAGAGCATACATACACTGCGCATGTGTGCATACAGAATCAAATACATGAGCTGATATAATTTACTTCCTAATGAGTCAATAGAAACGATTCAGAGCAGGAGTGGACACATTCTGTTTCCCTTAATGAATACTTCCTTTTCCTGCTTTGTGGTGGAAGTTTCAAACTGAATTTTTCATTTTTGTCTATTAAATCTGTTACAATGAGGTGTTAATGTGAATGAAGCCAACATAATTAACAATAATGATAACAGTTTTCTTGCCAGGGGATGTTGCTCAGCAGTAGAGCACTTGTCCAGCTCAAGGTCCTAGTTCCGTGCCCAGCATTGCTACGTAATAAACGGAAGTGAAGAGAAACGATGTTTAGTGTCAGTCACACAGCACTCAGAGTATTGACTCTAGTATTCCATCTTAGCCTCACCCCTATCCAACAGATAGCAATTCAATCTCAGTTATTATTACTGCTATTGTTGTTGTTATTAACTGCTTTTTTGTCGAGGCCAGGTCTCATGTAGCTCAGAGTGGCTTTGGACCTGTCATGAAGCCAACCTTGAACTTCTCATCTGCCTCCTTCCACTCCTCAGGGGTTGTGATTACATGTGTGCCACCCTTTCCTGTTTTTAGATGGGAAAATTGTACATAGCTTCTTATGGGACTTGCCTAAACTAATGGCCCATTATTCCTGAGCTGCAGAGATGGGGGTTTACACTGGACAGTGTAGCCTAAGTGTTCATGTTCTTACCCGCTATGTATACTCTCTCCTTATGTGAAAAGACCCTGTCTGCATTTAACCCTCCCCCCCTCCTTTTTTTTTCTGAAACAAGGGTCTTGCTAGGCAGCCCAGACTGGCCTGGCTCATTCCCCAGCTGCTCGGCTTACAGGCATGATCCACTATACTGAACTATAGAGACCTTTTTAATAAATAAGTCTGTATTTTTAAAAATCTGCACAGGCAGCTCATGGTGGCACCTGTCTTTAATCCCAGCACTTGGGTGGCAGAGGCAGGCAGATCAAGAAAGTTGCCGGACAGCCTGGTCTACATATTGTGTTCTGGGACATCCTGGGGATAACAAGAGAGACTGATTCAAAAAAAGAAGTCTCCACATGTGTCATTTTTCCTTTCTTTTAAGTGGGAAGTTCCATTTCCAAACCCGATCTGATCACCTTACTGGAGCAGGAGAGAGAGCCCTGGGTGGCTGTGACAGAAGAAGCAGACAGGCCCAGCCCAGGTGAGTAAGAGGAAGGCAGGGCTGCAGCATTGCCATCTCAGCGTGTGGTCAGAGAGGTTTCCACGCCTGACCCGGGGTTGACACACTCCCTTCAGAGTGCCAGGGCCTGTGGAAGAATGTGCCTGAGACCTGGGAAGGAAGTCAAGGTCATAGCAAAAGCTGCCACAGGAGCTGCTAGTTCATGAGTCACTAAGTTGTTTTCCCCTCTTCCGTCTTTCTGAAGCAGTTACCCTCTTTCTATCATTTTAAATGTATTTTATTATTGGTTGTGTGTGTGCAGGTGTGTGCAGGTACCCAAAGGGGCCATAAGAGAGCTTCAGATCCCCTGGGGCTGGAGTTGCAGGTGGCTGATTTAACTGCTCTCAAATCCAGGTCCTCTGGAAGAGCAGTCAGTCTCTTAACTGCTGATCCAACGATAGACACGTGGAACACAACTGAGAGCAGTAACATGGTGATGCATTGTAGCATGAAGAATAAAAACCCAGAGCCAGAAGTCGGGGTTCATTCTTAAAACTAGAAAAGCAGAGCAGCCAAGCCGCTAGAGAAGTCTTACTTTTGCCAAGGCTGGGCAACTCTAGACTAAGCAGACTAAGCCTCTCTCTTCTTGCATTTTATATTCTGTCTAGTGCTGGGATTAAAGGCGTGTGGCTCCCTAGTACTGGGATTAAAGGTGAGGCACCACCTGGATCTATTTCCTCATTGATCTTGTGTAGTCCAGGATGGCCTGGAACTCACAGAGTTCCATCTGCCTCTGTCTCCCAAATCCTGGGATTAAAGGTGTGTGTCGTCATTGCCTGACTTCTAGTGGCTTTACCTTTGCCTCTGGTCTTCAGGCAAGACTTATTTATCAGAATACAAATAATGGACCACTATAAGGCATAGCACATATTTTAATTGTCTATCTTCATAGTGACTCTGATCGGGGTGTGATGGTGTAGCCTATGCTCTCAACTACAGCACTGGGCAAGTTGAAAAGGCAGATCCTTTGTCTTGCTAACACTCAGCCTAGTTTACCTGTCAAGCTCCAGACCAATGAGAGACCCTGACTCAAAAAAAGTAGCTGGACAAGCCAGGGAAACAACATGTGAGTGTGTACACAACACAGCCTTCTACATAGCTTGGCATGGGGCTCTGGTGGCTCTTCCTGGTTGTCACTTGACCACATCTGGAACTAACTAAAACCCAAGCAGCTGGGTACACCTCTGAGAGACTTTTCTTAGTTAAGTTGTTGTAGTGGGTAGACCCACCTATTTCTGAGGTGGGACAATCCATCTTAAATCTTGCCCCATCATTTGGTGACATGCTGTAAAAAGGATGTGGAAGAAGGAATCTGTTGCCTTTTGTCTGCTTTCCCTCACTCTGATGGCAAGTCCATTCCTTCACTGGCACGGGGGCCTACTTCAGAATCCAGCCTGTACCGAAAACCAGCTGAGACATTCAGCCTCATGGAGTAAACAAGCACTGGATTCTTGGACTTTGTATTGCTAGACAGCCATTGGATCACAGCCTATAAGCCACTCTCATAAATCTCACATATATAAAATGAACAGTTCTGTTATCTAGAGAACCCTGACTAATACAAGGCAGGCACACACACACACACACACACACACACACACACACACACACACACACGTACGTACGTACGTAATACCAGGGTTTGGGAGGTGGAAGCAGGAAGATCAGAACTTCATGGTTATCCTCAGCTAGTACTGATCCGCCTGTCTCTGCCTTCAAGTGCTGGAATTAAAGGTGTGCACCACCACCTGGTCCTCCAGGACTCTTATCATCAAGCTGTGTTGAATGTTGTCAGAGGTCTTTTCCACAGATAATGAGATGATTGTGTGGCTTTTGTCTTTCAGTTTGTTTTTATGGTGGGATTGCACTTATCAATTTACGTATTTTGATTCATCCCTGCATCTCTGGGATAAAGTCTACATCATGGTGCATCTCTGGGATAAAGTCTACATCATGGTGGATGATCTTGTTGATGTGTTCTTGATTCATTTTGCAAGTATTTTATTGAGAACTTTTGCTTCTGTATTCATCAAGGAAATTGGTCTGTAGGTTTCTTTGTTGTGTTTTTATGTGGTTTGGGTATTAGGGTGCCTGTAGCCTCAAGAAAAGAATTGGACAATGTTCCTTCTATGTCTGTTTTGGGGACTAAATTGAGTATTGGCCTGACCTCTTCTTTGAAAGTCTGGTAGAACTGTACACTAAAACATATGGCCTTAGGCCTTTTTGGGTTGGGGGTCTTTTAATTACTGATTATAGAGATTATAGAGCCGGGTGGTGATGGTGCACGCCTTTAATCCCAGCATTTAGGATGCAGAGGCAGGCTAATTTCTGTGAGTTCGAGGCCAGCCTGGTCTATAAGAACTAGTTCCAGAACAGGCTCCAAAACTACAGAGAAACCCTGTCTTGAAAAAAACCTAATAAATAAATAAACAAACAAATAAATAAATAGAGATTTCTATTTATTTATGTTGGTACATAGTTGTATGACCTTTTAATATTCTTTCTTTGTCCTGTACATTTAATGTCTTTTTATGTCCTAAGAGGACTTTCTTTTCTGGCTCAGCTTATTTGGTGTTCATTATGCTTCTTCTGCCCTATTAGGTATTACATTCTTTGCATTAGGGGACTTTTCTTCTGTGATTTTGTTGGAAATATTTCCTGTGCCTTTGACCCGGCTCTCTTTTCCTTCCTCTGTTCTTATTCCTAGATTTGTTCTTTTCATGGTGTCCCAGAGTTCTTGGATAATTTGTGCAGGAATGTTTTTAGCTTTACCATTTTCTTTGACTGAGCTGTCCATTTCTTCTATCCTGTCTTCAGCGCCTGGCAGTCACTCTCCCATCTCCTGTATTCTGCTCATGAGACTTGCTTTGTGGGTTTCCTTTTTAGTGTCGAAACTTTTCCAGATTCCCTCAGCTTGGTTTTCTTTATCAATTCTGTTTCTACTTTCAGGTCTTGGACTGTTTGATTCATTTCCTTCCACTGTTTGTCTTTTCATAGATTTCTTTTTTTTTTTTTTAAATTTTCGAGACAGGGTTTCTCTGTAGTTTTGGTTCCTTTCCTGGAACTAGCTCTTGTAGACCAGGCTGGCCTCGAACTCACAGAGATCTGCCTGCCTCTGCCTCCCGAGTGCTGGGATTAAAGGCGTGCGCAACCACCACCTGGCTTTCATAGATTTCTTTAAGGCATTTCTTCATTTCCTGTTTAACAACCTCTATCATATTCATAAATATCAAATTGATATTCATATACATAAATTCATTGAATTGGCTTTTACGGGGGGGGGGGGTATGTTACACTACTCAGCGCCTGCTCTAGTAGGGATGTTGGATCTAGTGCAGACAAACTGCTATGGCCAGTGTTTTTACGCTGGCATCTAGGCATCTGAGTTTGGGAAGAGTGTAACTCTAGGTGCTTATATCTGGTCTTGTCTTTGTTGGGTGAGTGTTTTGTTTCTTGGCTTTTGTTGCCTTCTCTGGTTCTTAGGAGTGTATGGTAGCTGTATGTTGTTGGTAGGGAATTCTTGTGGGATCCTGATAGGTTTGGCCACTGGGGCTCCAGGTAAAATTTGTTTCTATGTCTTGGAAGCTGGCACTTAGAAATGGTGATGGAGGTTGTCAAAGCGTCCCACAGGAGGGAAGAAAGCAGACACTCCACTAGGATCTGCTGAGTCCCCTAGGAAAGAGGTCAGAGAGTAAGGAGATACCACAGGAAGTAGTTTCACTATCTAATCCAAGCTGTCTTGGAAGTCATGATGCTGTTACTTCTGGCTGCCTGTTAATGGAATTATTACCATTGTGCACCACCACCGATCTTTCCTCACTTTCTTTTTTAAATAATTCCAGGCCCTGACTAGTTTTTTTAATGCATGACAGATACTTGGTATTGTGTAGTATATTACTTTTATTGTTATTTATTTCAAAAACCTTCACCAAAGCATGTGTATTTCCTGTAGTATGCATAAAGCATGTAAAATTATTTCAGTACAGTTTGTTTTAATCTCATTAAGCAGACATGCCTTCCTGTTTCCTACTGTGAAGAGTACTGTCTCACATAAACTTTTGTTACTGCTGCTCAGAAAATACTTTAGAGTTGGGCCATCGATAAAATGGACTTTTTTATGTGTTTGTGTCGTGGGAAACTAAAATATTCTTGCTTTTTCATTTTCTTTCAGATTTGGACTCAGATTCTGAAGCTCAAAAAATATCTCCAGACAATCATAGTATAAATCTACCCAAAGAGAGCATAAAGCATATAAGTAAAACTTTTGACCTCCAGGGCTCCAGTTTTAGTAATGGCCCCAACTGTAGTACATTCAAGGAACTACAGAGTTGTCAAAAGGGAAGTTCTGACCAAACGGTTAGTAACAGGGAAAAACTACCTCCTCACCCCAGCCAGACTCTTCCTCACAGCCCAGACAAAGCGTTGGAATGCCGAGAGTGTGGGGAGTGCTTTGGTTGTAGCTCCAGTCTTGTTCAGCATCAGGCTAGTCACGCTGGAGAGAAGCCCCGTGACTTCCGTGAGGAAGGTGCTAAGGCCTTGAAACCCCAACAGCTCATGAGACCTCAGAAGTCCCACAGCGCTGAGAGACATTTCAGATGTGAGGAATGTGGCGAGTCTTTCAAGCACCTCTCCATGCTTCTTCAACATACGCGCATTCATTCTGCCGTGAAAACCTTTGAATGTAAAGAGTGTGGGAAAACCTTTAGTCACCACTCAAACCTCATGCAGCATCAGAAAAGTCACTCTGGCGAGAAACCTGGTCAGTGTAAGGAATGTGAGAAGGCCCACGCTGTTCTAGCACAGCTCACCACTCAGACCCAGGACAGTCATACTGGAAAGAAGTCATCTCAGTGTAAGCAGTGCGGCAAGACAGTCAGTCCTGGCTCATACCTTGTAAAACACCAGAGTGTTCACACTGGTGAGAAATCCTTTGAGTGTAAAGTATGTGAGAAGGCTTCTAGGCTTCAGTCGTACCTTTCTGAGCATCAGAAAACTCACACTGATGAGAAGCCTTTCAAGTGTAAGCTGTGTGGGTCAGCCTTCAGACGTAAGTACCACCTTACTGAGCATCAGGGTATCCATAGTGATGTGAAACCCTATCAGTGCAAAGAATGTGGGAAGTTCTTCCGCCGACGGTCAAATTTTACTGTGCATCAGAGTATTCACACTAACATGAAACCCTTCAAGTGTAAACTGTGTGGCTCAGCCTTCAGACTTCAGTCCCTGCTTACTCAACATCAGAGAATCCATACTGATGAGAAACCCTATCAGTGCAATGAATGTGGGAAACACTTTCGTCGACGTTCAAATTTTACTGAGCATCAGAGTATTCACACCGGAAAGAAACCCTTTGATTGTAAGGAATGTGGGAAAGTCTTTAGACTTAACACACATCTCATTCGCCATCAGAGATTTCATAGTGGTGAGAGATCTTTTGAGTGTAAGGAGTGTGGAGAGGCCTTTCGGCTTCTCGCCCATCTTAAGAGCCATCAAATAATTCATTCAAGTGAAAAACTGTATGAGTGCAAGGAATGCGGGAAGTCCTTCAAGCGTGTCTCCACCCTTGTTCAACACAGGATCACTCATATTGGTGTGAAGCCATTTCAGTGTAAAGAGTGTGGGAAAGCCTTTAATCGTCGCTCAAACCTCACGCAACATCAGAAGACTCACTCTGGTGAGAGACCCTTTCAGTGCAAGGATTGTGGGAAGTCCTTCTCTGTTCTGACACAGCTCACTCGGCACAAGAGCATTCATACTGGAAAGAAATCATTTAAATGTGAGCAGTGTGGGTCAGCCTTCAGACTTCATTACCAACTTACTCAGCATCAGAAAATTCATACCGACGTGAAACCCTATCAGTGCAAGGTATGCGGCAAGGGCTTTGTTCGCGGTACAGGCCTTAGAATTCATGAGAAAACCCACAGTGATGAGAAGCCCTTTAAATGTAAGGAATGTGGGAAGGCTTTCCGAATTCAGTCTGAACTTACTCAGCATCAGAGAACTCATACCGACATGAAACCCTATCAGTGCAAGGTATGTGGAAAAGGCTTTGTTCGCGGTAGAGGACTCCGAATTCATCAGAGAATCCACACTGGTGAGAAGCCCTTTAAATGTTCGGAATGTGGGGAAGCCTTTCGATATGACTACCAATTTCTCGGACATTTTAGAATGCATTCTGGCAAGAATCCTTACGAATGTAAAGAATGTGGGAAGTTCTTTACTCGCAGTGAATACCTTAAAGCACATCAGAAAATCCACACTGATGAAAAACCTTAGCAATGTTAAAAATGTGGAAAGGCCTTTAGTTGGAATGAAACTTTGTTTGGCATGCTAATGTTCATATTAGTGAAAAACCTTGTGGATGTAAAGAATGTGGAAAGGCCTTTAGCGGTAAGTTTATGCTAGTTGTTGATCAGAGAATTCATGCTGGTGAGAAACAGTATGAATGGAAGAAATGTGGAGAAATGTTTAGATTGAGCTCAGCCTTCACTGCACAGTGACGTACCTGTCATTGTAAAGGATGTGGAAAGGCTTCAGTTTGAGCTCAGGCCTTCAACATAAAAGATTCCATGCTGTTGGGAAACCCTATGAATTCAAAGAATGTGGGATTATTTATAGAATCAGCTCAGCTCTTAAAGCTCATCAGAGAATCCTTATTGGTCTGAAACATTATGAATTAAAGAGTAGGAAAGCCTTTATTAGAAATGGTGAGCTTATACAACATCATAACATCAGAAAATATATAATCTTCAGGAGTCTTATGCATGTAAGGAAGGTGGACAATCCTTTGTATGGAAATGTTACTGAACTCATAATTCCAAGACTATGACTGCAAAGAATGTGGAAAGAACTTTAATTTGTCCTGGAATTGGTCGACGTCAGAGTATTCATATATTCTTGATGTCAAGGATCTCTTTGCCAATGAGAACGTGGGAAGTCTGTGGTTCGTAGGGGATATTCTGTTGAGAATGTGTATAAATGTCAGAAGTAATAGGGTAGCCATCATGTTCTTGATTTAGTCTCCTCTTGTTAATTGGATAAACATAATTTCTCCAACACTACTCACCAAGGGCAGTGAGCATAGGGAAACAGTTACTGGAACTGGGTTTATCTGAGGCACCTTTTCACCATTAATGCTCCGTGACTCCTGTCATGTTAGACTGATCATTTACTGTGGATTATGTTTATTTGTTTTGTTTTTTAGAGGCAGGGTTGCTCTGTGTCGCCCTGGCTGTCCTGGAACTTGCTCTCTAGACCATGCTGGCCTTGAGTTCAGAGATCTGCCTGCCTGTACCTCCCCAGTGCTGGGATTAAAGGCGTGTGCCACCACTACCATCTGACATTTACTTTTTGTTTATGTATAATTTGTTAATTGTGAACACAGTACCAGCCAAAGTTGTGGGGAAAGGGGTTCTAATAAATAACAAAATTCTTGAGAGAATATTCGGCTCATTCCATTGTTCTGTTAAATAGCTTTTACATTGTTCTCCCTTTTATTGGCATTGTTGTAACTCATATGAAAGACAAAATTGTATTGCAGATAGTTTAGTAAAAACATCATGTATTCGTCCACTATTAAGTAACATCATTCTGGATAAAATCTGGTGGATGAAAAGGAATGTGAAAGAATTTTCATTGAGAATCCATTTAATATCTGTGTGGAGATGTTCTAAACACAGCTGTTAAGTAGTTTTTAAAGGTGTTAAACCCATAACTATTTTAAAGGATAATACCCTGAAATTTATGCTCTTTGCCCAGATGTTAAGATAAACTATTCATTTATAGCAGGGCAAGAATTTGTCTTTGATGGCGAATATTGTGGGAAATTACCCAAATTATTCTCAGAACCTGAGGTCAAGATGCCCCTGCTAATTAATTTATCTTGACTTAAATTATCTGCATGTACAAATGCCCCCCCTCCAGGTAAGGCCTTGTCAGTCCTCCAGGAAGATGATGCTTGTCTTGGCTTCTGTTAATCTGCCTGCTTGGGAAGAAGCTCCCCAGTTCAGCTGCTGAGCAGGATAACAGGATGTGGGTTTTGCTTTAAATGCCTTGTGTCCAAAATACCTGAGTGTAGTCCCAGGTAACTGAAATGGACTTTGAGTTGACTATGAGCTCCCCATAAAAAAATTAACAAAAATAGCCAAATTGGATCCACTTATAGTAACAACACAGTTTGGTATGCTTATCTAGATATGATTTCCTATATCCATCCTGTAGATAGATAAATGAGTATTTGGGGCTGTGCTGTTAAGAATACATTTAGAGTTGGGTGAGATAGTGCATGCCTGGAACCCAATAATTGGGAAACTGAGGCAGAAGGATCAAAAGTTGGAGGTAAACATATCTACACAGTGACTTCAAGTCCAACTTTTGCTGTTTAGGGACCCTTTATGAAATTGTAGGCATGATTTCATCCCTTACATCAGCAAAGCTGGAATGTCATCCCTACTCCAGTCATAATTAAACGTAAGGAAGTGATCCAGAATTTTGAGTGAGGTAACTCAGATACAGAAAGACAAGTATCACATGTACTCACTCATAGGTGGTGTTTAAACATAAAGCAAAGAAAGCCAGCCTACATACTACAATCCCAGAGAACTTAGACAACAGTGCGGACACTAAGAAAGACTTACATAGATCTAATCTACATGGGAAGTAGAAAGTATAAAAAGACAAGATCTCCTGAGTAAATTGGGAGCATGGGGACCTTGAGGAAGGGCTAAAGGGGGGAGGGGAGAAGCAGGGAAGGGAGCAGAGAAAAATGTAGAGCTCAATAAATATCAATAAAAAATTTATAAAAAGAGAAAACAATCAGAAACCACAAATGCAAGCATAAACAGAAAAATATAAGAGATGGAAGAGTGAATCTCAAGCACTGAAGATACTATAGAGGAAATAGATTCATTAGTTAACGAAAACATTAAATCTAACAAGAGCTTAACCCAAAATATCCAGGAAATATGGGACACCATGAAAAGGCCAAATCTAAGAATAATAGGTAAAGAAGAAGGAGAAGTTCAACTCAAAAGCACAGAAAATATATTTAACAAAATTATAGAAGGAAACTTTCTGAAACTAAGGAAAGATATGCCTATGAAGATACAAGAAGCTTATAGAACACCAAATAGACTGGATCCAAATAAAAAGTCCTCTCGCTACGTAATAATCAGAGCACTAAACATCCAGAGTAAAGAAAGAATATTAAGAGCTGCAAAGGAAAAAGGCCAAGTAACATATAAGGTAGAGTTCTCATTGGAGACAATGAAAGCCCGAAGGTCAAGCGTTATGAAGACATTAAGAGACCATGGATGCCAGCCAAGACTTCTATACCCAGCAAAACTTTCAGTCACCATAGAACAAGATAACCCATTAAAAATCTAGAATTTACCAATACCTAGCCACAAACCCAGCCCTACAAAAAAATACTAGAAGGAAAGCTCCAACCCAAGGAAGTTGGCTATACCAACAAAAACAGAAAATTGATGGTCTCATAGCAGTAAATCTCAAAGAAGAGAAAAACACACAAATTAACTTCACCAACAATGTAAACTAAATTAACAAGAGATAGCAATCACTAGTCATTAATATCCCTTAATATAAAAGGACTCAACTCACCTACAAAAAGGCACAGGTTAACAGATTGGATATGAAAACAGAATCCATCCTTCTGCATACAAGAAACACATCTCAACCTCAAAGACAGACATTGTCTCAGAATAAATGGTTGGGAAAAAGTATACAAATCAAATGGACCTAATAAACAAGTGGGTGTAGCTATCCTATTATCTAACAAAATAGACTTCAACTAAAATCAGTCAAAAGAGACAAAGAAGGTCATTTCATATTAGTCACAGGAAAAATCCATCAAGAGGCATTGCAGATCAGAGGCATTTTTGTTTCATGAATCTCTTAGGCATAGTAATTAAAACTTAAAATGTAACTTTGACTATTATAGCAGAAGTTCACCAAGACACTGGGTGGTATGCTGAGCATAGGAAATCTCAAAGGCTGCCCCCCACAGTGACACACTTCCTCTAATAAGGCCACACCCACTCCAACAAAGCCACACTTCTTAATAATGCCACTCTCTATGAGTTCATGGGAGCCATTACATTCAAACTACCACTCTGTTTATTATCAAGGGAAGTCAGAACAGGAACTCAAACAGGGCAAGAACCTGGAGGCAAGAGCTGATGCAGAGGAGGGGTGCTGCTTACTGGCCTGCTGCATATGCCTTGCTCAGCCTGCTTTCTTCTAGAACCCAGGGTCACCATCCCAGGGATGGCACCACCCAACATAGGCTGTGTCCTCCTCTTTCAATAACTAATTAAGAAACTGCCTTATAGTCAGATCTCATGGAGGCATTGTCTCAAGAATCCTTCCTCTCAGATAACTCAAGTTTTATGTGTGTCAAGGTAAGACCAGGCAGCACACCATGGTTTTGTTTTTGTTTTTGTTTTTTTTTTTTAAAGAGAGAGACATAATTCAAATAATTGGCACCAATCTCTTTTCTCTTGGTCCTCCTGGACAACTCCTCTGCTTTTGTAGAACTTTAAGCTGAGGCCTCTCAGCAGTAGTGCCCCCTCCCCTGGGAACCAAGGACCTAACAACTACAGATACACGTTCTAAAATGTTGGGACTCCCTGAGTCCTTGTGAGTGTTCTCCAAATAGAGCTCCATTCCTAAAATTGGAACAAGATAACCCACAGATGTCCACAGATGTTTTGACTCAGTCCCTGAAAAGGGGGCAAAGTAACCCTCGAATGTTCCCTCTTACCTCATCTGATCTGGCAACCGCTCTATAATAATTTAAACCAATTATTTAAATAAGCCAATCATAATAGTTGAAGAACAACCCCCAGACTCCCCTCTTGTTTCTGTTTTTACTTTAAAAGTAGCCTGTACCAGCCATTCAGGGTCTTTCTGGCTTCTCAAATGCTGAAAGGCCCTGTCATGACAGAATTAATAAAATCCTCATGTTTTTACATCAACTGTGGTGTGAGAGATGGTCTCTTGAGGCAACTCCCCCTGGTAGTTGGACTTCAGGGCACAACACTATCAATACTGGCTGGGTCTTTACTTCAATTACGTATTGGAGTAACAGTGTGGTTCTATGTCTAAAGATTTGTGGGTTGCCAATTATGTAAAACAAAGGATTGATTAAATCAAATGAATGGTTATCCAAACCAAATACACCTCTTTAGAGCGGAATGAGCCCACAATTTGACTTAGTCATGAAGACCATGGGGGAATGTAACTTGACCCAAGACCTTAGTTGACCTTCAGAACTTGTCACTGATGACTCCATGATGGAAGTACCATTCAGTCCACAAAACTCAGCATGTAGACAGTACCACCTTATTGTTTGATCAGCAGCACAGTGGCTGTGCCTGAATCTAACCTGTCTCAGCTACTGACTGCATCTCTGCAGCTACTGCTGTCTTGTTGCTGAGGCCGAGGCACAGTGGATCCTCTGAATCTCACTACCACAGCCTCTGTCACTGATGCCGCTGCCACCAAATGTTGTTTATAACTTAGTCTCAATTGTTATATTTTACCAATAATGACTCAGGAGTCAAACACTGGGGTAAAACCTGCTAACTCAGAAAGACAGAGAAAGAACTCAGCTGATTTTCCTCCTCTGCTGTCACTCAGAAAAGGAAGCTTCCCCTACCCTGTCTAAAACAAAAACTCCTCCAATCAGATGTCCCTCTCTTCTACTTCCTGTACACCTCTCTCTTCATCCTCCTGACTTCCTCTCACTCTCTATGACTTTTTCCTGTCAACTAGGTGTTTGTCCCACCTCTCAACCTATGGTGTCTGTTGTTATGTCCCCATTTTCATTTCTGATTTTGTTAATTTGGATATTTTCTCTGCCTTCTGGTTAGTTTGGCTAAGGGTTTGTCTATCTTGTTGATTTTCTCAAAGAACCAACTCTTTGTTTCATTTATGCGTTATATTGCTTTCTCTATTTCTATTTTATTGATTTCAGCCCTCAATTTGATTATTTTCTGTCATCTACTCCTCCTGGGCAAGTCTGCTTCTTTTTGCTCTAGAGCTTTCAGATGTGCTGTTAAGTCACTAGTGTGAGGTTTCTCCACTGTCTTTATGTAGGCACTTAGTGCTATGAACTTTCCTCTTAGCACTGCTTTTATAATGTCCCATAGGTTTGGGTATGTTGGGCATTTATTTTTGTTAAATTCTAGGAAGTCTTTATTTCTTCCTTGACCCAGGGGTGATTCAGTTGAACATTGTTCAATTTCCATGAGTTTGTAGGCTTTCTGCAATTAATGTTGTTATTGAATTCTAACTTTAAGCGATGATGATTCAAAAAGATAAGGGGTACCCCAATTTTTTTGTATCTGCTGAGATTTGCTTTGTGACTGAGTATGTGATCAATTTTAGAGAAGGTTCCATGAGGTGCTGAGGTATATCTTTTTATGTTTGTGTTAAGTGTTCTGTAGATGTCTATTAAGTCCATTTGAGTCATGACATATGTTAATTCTCTTATTTCTCTGTTAAGTTTCTGTCTAGAAGATCTATCCATTGGTAAGAACGGCGTATTAAAAGTCTCCTACTATCAGTGTGTGGGGCTTGATATGCAATTTAAGCTTTAGTAATGCTTATTTTACATATGTGGGTGATCTGTGTGGGGCATAAATGTTCAGAATTGAGATTTCATCTTGATAGATTTTCCCTGTGAATATGAAGTTGTCCTTCATCTCTTTTGATTTTTGTTTGAAATCTATTTTGTTAGATATTAGGATAGGTACACCTGCTTGTTTCTTAGGTCCTTTTGGTTGGAAAAATTTTCCCCTTTACTCTTGAGATGTCTGTCTTTGAGGTTGAAGTGTTTCTTGTATGCAGCGGAAGAATGGATCTTATTTTTATATCCATTCTGTTAACCTGTGTCTTTTTATAGGTGAATTGAGTCATTGATATTAAGAGATATTAATGACCAGTGATCGTTTATTCCTGTCATTTTTTGGTGCTAGTTTGTATGTTTCCTTTCTTTGGGGTTTGCTGGTGTGAGATGTGAGATTATCTGTTGCTTGTCTTTATGGTTATGGGTGCAGCTAACTTCCTTGGGTTGGAGGTTTCCTTCTAGTACTTTCTGTAAGGTTAGATTTGTGGATAGGTATTGATTAAATGTGGTTTTGCCTCTGACTCATTTTAATAGGGTCTTTTCTGCTCATTCTGCCAGACGGGAAGATCACCCCCTTCCCTTCAACTATTTTTCCTTGTTTCCTTTTTAAATTTTATTTTTAATGTGTTTGCCTCCATGTATGTTTGTACACTAAGTGCATACTCAGTGACCAGAGGAGCTGTGTGCTAACATTTGAGTGCTGGAAAACTAACCTAGGTCCTCTGGAAGAGGAGCACCCAGCCACCTCTCCAGCCTCTTCCCTTACGTTCTTTACTGGAAGAGTCCATCAATTCTTCAAAAAACGTACTCAATTTTGAAACCAAACCCAAATATTTACTATGTGTAGGGGATGGTGACTGCACTATGATCAGACTGCGTTCCCTGACTGCGCTGTTTCAGTCTGGAGATGAGAAAGTGGTTCTCAACCTGGGGGTCATGACCTCTTTGGGGGCTAAATGACCTTTTCATAGGGATTGCCTAAGACCATCCTAAAATATTTACTTCACAATTCATAACAGCAACAAAATTAGTTATAAAGTAGTAACAAAAGTAATTTTATGGTTGGGGATCACTACATGAGGAACTGAATTAAGGGGCTGCAGCATTAGGAAGATTGAGAGCCATATGGTAGCTTCTCTAAGCAGAACATAGGCAGGCCCTAGGGAGCATGGCAGAGGACTCAGCTTCCTGACTAGGGTGAGAGCAGGCTGGCAAAGCTTAACCAGGAATGGAACCCCTGGAGACACCAGGACAAACCAAGCACAAAGCCTCTGGCATAGAGGAAGGTGGAAGGGCTTTTGCTAGATTATGTGACTCGGAGACTAAATCTCATTTGCCTAGGGAAGTGCACTTAGCCACAAGTCTAAGTACATTCACACATAGGGTAGCATGCCCAGCAGACTTGGTGTACCCAGGCATTGAAGAGAGAATCTTGGGAACCAGCCCCTACCAAAAAGACAAGCATGTGCACTGGGCTTTAACAGTTTACTTAGCAACCAAATGCACTGTGCTTTGAAGCTGCAGAGAGAGAAGACTGAGGGGATCTGTGGCCCTGGCCCTTGTGCATGTAAGGAAGGCAGAAATCCCTGAAAATCCAAACGATCTTCCTGGAGAAATGAGAGGGGCTTCAGCCTGTGGCCACGGCGTCCATCCCCCTGCCCAAATCTCTGAAATCATTCAGTCCACATTGTTTGCTCTTCTCAAGCTGCACCCCAGCCTACTTATTTATTTGTCAAGGAGGGACCCAGTAGATTCCATTCAAGATCCATATTCCCCAAAGGAGTAACACCTAAGAAGAAATTAAACAGATCCAATCACATCCATTTATTGACTAAACCAATCCTGGGTAAAGAGAAAACTAGCTTCTGGGACAGGTGCCTAGGGAGTGGGGGGGGTTGGGGGGGGGTCACTTGTAAAACTCATGTTCCTGCTCATCTTTCTTGATCACAGTCTTGTAGGCTTTCTCGAAGTCCTTGGCCAGGACAATGTAGCGGTTCTCACGGACAGCCAACATTCCGCTCTAGAAAGGGAATAAAAATTGCACGCTTACATACCACCTTCTCCACCCCCAGGTCCCATGACAGCAATGGAAGAGAGACATGTGGTCCAAGACCCCAGGGAGGCCACAAGGGGAAGGACAGACTGCAGAGAATAACACCAGAGAAGGGAGACATCTTCAAGACCCCAGGGAGGCCACAAGGGGAAGGACAGACTGCAGAGAATAACACCAGAGAAGGGAGACATCTTCAAGCACCCCTGCTCAGATCAGGAAGAGAATCCCACTCACCTCCTGACAGATTGAGTTGATGTCGGCTCCTGAAATCTTATCTGGCCGGGCCACATCTGCAGCAGCCGAGTTAAGGAACCCTTTCCTCACATGATGGGGTCAGTTCTGGAAATGGATGCTGTCCTGCTCTTGTGCCACCTCCCCCTGGACTCCCCTGAGTGGGGTGACTGTGATGAAGACCTAATCTTCACTTTCTTCTAGAGCCCCCCCCCCCCCAACTTCCAAAGGATACAGTCTTCCAGGTCTACCTCCTCAGAGAGGTTCATCTTACTGGTGATGGTGGAGAAAATCAACCTCTTCTGGCGACGGTCAGGGAGTGGGAATTCAATTTTGCGGTCCAAGCGTCCTGGCCGCAGTAGAGCTGGATCTAAGGTGTCTGCTCTGTTTGTGGCCATGATTACCTGGCACCGGGAGGGACCAGCTCAGACTTCTGCCATCTCTACATCCTCTTTTCCTATCATAACATCTGGCCCTCATGAGCCAGCCCCCATCTTTCCCCAGTCCCTACACCATGCCGCCCCTTGCCAATCCTGAACCCTAAACCTTCACGTTGACGTTTTGGTCAAATCCATCCATTTGATTCAGCAGCTCCAGCAGGATCCTCTGAACCTCCCTGTCAGCTGAGAGTAAGAAACACGATCAGTCCAGGAGACATCCTTTGACGCCTGCAGAAGATCCAGGCCGTGTGGGCACTACTCACCTCCTGTCTGGGCATCGAATCTCTTGGTAGCAATGGCATCGATCTCATCGATGAAGATGATGGCAGGTGCATTCTCCTTGGCCAGGCGGAACACATCCCGGACCATCCGGGGGCCCTCACCTAGGTACTTCTGTACAAACTCTGAGCCCACCACACGGATAAATGCAGCTGAGGGCAGAATGACAAGGCTCAGAATGGGGACCATCTTCCTTTAGGGTCCCTTGTGCTTTAATCGACCTTGGGAATTCCTGAAGATGTTTTTCTTGAATAGCTACTCCCTAATATCTGAGG